GGCCAAATACCCTCCAAAGGGAATCTCTACACCGCCAGTAGGGTGAGCGAGTAAACGGAGATAAAAAAAAAACTATCCGTATTGTTTCAAACGTTGTGCCGGGACCATTGAACCAGCAATGAGGATCGCAAGTCCGGCTTGCCAACAATTACAACCGCCGCAGCAGACTTCGTTGCTCATGAAAACCACAGAGCGACAAAAAACTAAGCACGAAGAAAAGTAAAAATGTTTCTGCAACACTTGTTTCTTTTGCGTTAACTAAACTCCGATAGTCGTGCGAAATTACGGAGATTTCCCTCCGTGAGCAGCCACGCGCGGATGGGAAAGTTGCAGGCTCTCCCCGAGCGGTACGAGTTCCCTCGAAATTCAACTGCAACCATTCACGCCTTCACCCCCGGTGCATGCCATTGATGGATGTAATCCGGCAGGAATTCACACGCGTACGACGTAATCCGGCATGAATTTAAATCTCCTGTCGTGCGGCAATGCGTATGGCGCCTCGGACACCCACGCAGCGCGCGCGCTCTTGCAACATTTGTTTACTAAACTTAATGACGATCACATGCAATGCGCCGTATAAGAGACACATTTCTCTCTCTCTCCCGAGGACCCATGTGCGCCGCCTTGTCTTGACGTTCTATGGTGTGTAACACACGAACACGCGTGCACACGCGTGCACACACGTGCACACACGCGTGGACACACGCGTGGACACACGTGTGGACACACGCACGCTCGACTGACTCGCTGTGACTCCAGGGACAAGCGCTGTGTGTGTTGAATTTGGCACAAAGGCTGGCAGAGTCTTGGCTCAGAGAACAGCAGCGTCTAACCTGCTCTGGCAGCAGTTGTATGAACGGGATCTGCAACACAGTAGAATGTTTGCCTTGGACTGCCTAAAAAAAGCCTTGTGCCGTCATGGTCTGACAGAATTATTCTCAAGAGCTCGTCAATGTAGCCTGCACAGCTGTGCTTAATAGATTTAACATGAATTATACAGAAAACTTTAAATAATTCAATTTACTTTATTGTCATGGTCCCAACTGGCATGGCCACTGGAAGAAAATGTGAACGACCTTTCTGCTGCCTCTGTCGACACAGAGGTGCTTACGCAAACTACTATTGTTAAAACGAAACTTTCATCAATTCATAGTCTCCAACACCTCACTCAACACAATGGCCATGCTCGAGACAAGGAAGGTGCAAACACTTTCAATGCAGTATAGCTTCTAAACTTTTGACAATTAGCTAAACAAACAATACTACATTCCTACACAGGATGCTTACAGATAAGCGGCACTGATATCAATAACCAACGAAACATCTGCGGCACAATAGAAGGGTTTTCTATTGTGTCGCTATGATTTTCCTTGCTATATCTATGGCACCTTTTTGCCAGTATCAAAATGATGAAGCAATAAGAATAGGTTTTACCCTGTCTGACTGTCTCTGGTGGAGGCCAATCCGTTTCAAAGACAATGGACATATTACACTATGTAAAAGATTTTTGTTCCTGGGTACTAAGTGTTATTTTCTAAATGCTTATGCCTCAAAAGTATATAAAAATGGCTATTATTCCCCACAAACTGTGCTTTTGTGACCAGGACTTTATGTGAAGGAATGACACAAATGCACACCACGTTTTCTCATTGAAGATAGGTAGATGACACCGTGTAATCAGCCCACGTTTGTTTTCATGTTTTGCCACAAGTCCGTGTGGTTAATGCAGACTTGTTGCGTTACAAAAGGTCTCTACGGTATTTGGTGTTTGAACATCTTAAAACCTCCTGTTTTATTGCCAGAAAGGGTAAAAATGATGATTATTGTTGCATTATTTTCCTTGCTTCCTGCTATGCAGCGATGTCGGGCAGCCAGTCGTGGCAATTTACTTGTGAGGATCTATTACATTAGTCTAATGCAAGCCCTACAGACATCAGTTTCAACATTATCTGCTCAAGTGGGGACTTAAGAAACTGGAACTCGAGCAAATTAGAAAGTGGCCTAAGTGTTAGTCAAATGGTTCATATTTGCTGACCAGTTGTGAGCCCACATCATCAAGGGGTGATTGGAATGAAGCAGCCAGTGTTCTCAATAAACCACTGCTTCCATATACTCTCCCTAAATGGGCTCACTTGCAGTCCAATGAAATAGCGGATGGCTCCTTGTTATCCTCCTCATTAAGGAGACAGCCACGTGTGTGTGTGTGTATAAGTGTGTGTACACGTGTGTGTGTGTACAAGTGTGTGTGTGTACAAGTGTGTGTGTGTACAAGTGTGTGGGGAGCGGTAGTGTAGCGGTTAGCGCGCTGCGCTTTGAGCCTAACAATCCGGGTTCGATTACCACTCATGGACACCATCAGTGACGATTGTCTGAACCGGTCCTGGACCTCCCCGAGGTCGACTCAGCCTCAAATGAGTACCTGGTGCAGTGTGTAATCATCACCACTAGAGAGACAAAGGCAGCCGAGCGTGGTGATGGCAACCCACCACCTCGTGGTCCGTGCCGGCCTTCATAAACGTTCGCTAACGGGACTTGCCCCAACAGTCTGTTAAGGCTATATGGAGGATGCTTGTCTTACAGAAGATTACATGTATTATATACAGCACACACATTCCTTTTTTTGTTTAAACAACTGCAGCATCTAAAAGCAAATAGGAAGTGATGACAAGGCACAGTGGTATCAATGGCATTGACCTTGGTTGCCCTGTTGACCTTGACTTTTAAATAAATCTAAGTAATGTCATCCACATTCCAGGCTGGTGCTGGCAGTTCACCCATTGAAAGAGATTTACAATTGCATGTGGTTCTATGTAATGTGGACCGTTCTGTATATATGAACAACAACGTTCGGATCTTAAACTTAGCATGAAAGATGACCGTTGCAATTTTTGGGCAAGAATATTTAATTCGCATATGTGGCGCAAACTTTGACCGCTCAACATTTGCAAACACATCTACGAGCTACCAACAATAATATTTGGTTAAATCACACATCTGTGAGCTTGATAAGCCTGGAATAAATTACATAAGTGAATCTTGTAATTTCAACGCGTAAATATGGATGCGGTATTTAGTATTAAAAATACATAAATAATGACAAGTAATATGAACAAAATAACAGCACACTGCCGTACGCCATCATTTACCCTCTTGCAATGTTCAATGGCTGATTTAATGCATATTTCTGAAATTAAATACGTTCCCTGGTTGGCTGAAACATTTCATTTCTTTTTAACCACATTAAAGCAATGGGAATGTTTTCCATTCACGTAATGGCTGCAAATAATCGAATTAAGAGAACACTGTGACCACACACACACACACCTGTAATTATTGCATATCTGAAAAATTGCTTTTAACACTGGGTAAAAAAAATTTGAAATGTACGTCATAATTTTCATGCAATGGATTATTGGAGTTGTGCACGTGCATTTGCTGAGTAGTCATGGTGTGCAGTGTTTCACGGACGCTTTCTTTCCAGAGACGAGGCTACCCCGTTTTGTATCAGTGATGAAAAAAGCCAAGAGTCCAGTTGGCTTGTTCCAACTCATTGAATTGGTTACAACCTTTAAGAGGTCATTAACATTTTAACAAAAATAATTTTCAGAGTTCCGCTATTACCGTGCAGTTACATCTCTTGATTCTGTACACATGTACTGTACAATCTACCACTGTCATGTGTTTTTATTCTATCATTTGACATTCAAAGTCATTTAATGTGTTTTCTTTGTCAATTTAACATGACTTTTTATCCATATTTGATGAATAATTAATATCATCAGCTAATGACGTAATTTCTTGTTCTATTAAATATAATTGAAAGCCTTTTTCTGTACCATTCCTGGATGAATGTCAACTCATGCCGTGACAATCATGTTTGACCATTTCACCACAATGGTTCAGTGCGGTTTGGCAAAGGGGAATGGTCCTGGGACTGTTCAGACATCACTGGCCACCGATGTCAGCGATGGCCAGGAAACGCACCGAGGTTGTTCAATCCACAGCACAGTGCCGCTAACCACCGTGCCAATGAATAGAATGTGGAAATAAATATTTGACCATTATCATTATTTTATAGAATTCCAAATTTACCCCTGTCAATGTAGCATAATTATACCACTGTCATGTCAGTCTATACACTCCACACACAAAAAAAAACATTGTAAAATAGTCTGTGCCTAGATCAGTCAGCAATTGCCATTGCTGAACTGATCACTAACAGCTGAGTGGTTTCCGTGAAATGGAATTGGGGTGGCAGTGAGGGCCTCAGAGGCATCTGCTGAATCCAAGAACTGCCTGGTATAGAGACGCATTTCCCTTACCAAGAGCTCTGTCCAAGGCATGCCACTCAAGAGTGCATTAGGTCAACCACTATATCTGTTTGGAAACAAAAATAATACCTCGACAGTATTGGCAAGATGACAATTCGACACAATTTGGCTCCATAAGGAAATACATTATGAAAGTTCACCTCACTTTTATTTCAAGGTAATATAAGGGCAAGTAAAACACGTTTTTAGATACAGAGTTCAATACCAAAATCACACTAATTGAGTGCTAATGCCATTTGTTTTTTTCAGGAAAGCCTCACTGAGTGTTAAGACTCTTTTTCAAATATTGGGATGTTTGGCCCATTACATTTTCAGTATTATTTTTTTTACACGTGGAAGGAAATGGAATACCCAAATAAAATCCTTCCATGTGAGTGGCTAACACTCAACGGCTCCACAGAAAGAAGTCCCCAAAGCCATCCGCTGCGCTGCCATCTTGGACATTTCAGAGCCCAGTGTGTTTGGGCATTTGATATTTGTGATCCACCAAATCCTGCCTCCAAAGCACAGGACTGCAGTGTGGTACAATGCCCTGCTTAATTGTATTCATATTAACGTTGTCATAACTGCAGGTGCCGTGCACTGCATGCACAGTGGCAATGTGAAGAATGACCGTGCACAGCCTGAGAGCGATAGACTGCACGAAAAAAAAAGTCATGCGGCTCTTACCTCTAGATTGTGCTCGGACTGAGTTTCTCGGTCCAACTTTCTGGCAGTCGTGTTGATGACACCTGAAATGAGTAATCACAAAGAAAATCTCGATTAAACATTGGTCACACATGAAGCGTATTTCTTTAAGAACTCAATCGCATTCATTCTACTCCAACGTTGATTCGACAGCGCTTTCAGTTTCCCCCACGCTGGAAGCTATTCATGTGATTTATTTGCTCTGAAACTAATTTTGCCCCCGGAAGTAAATGAGAATGTTTTTTCAAGTTAGAACATCTTCTGAACGTAAATAATCAGACACGGCAGCAGCATTTGCTTCAAAACAACTAGAGGCTAAGTTTCTCATTCATATTCTAATGTTGCGCTTCGGGTTCCGTTTCTCCAAATTTCTACTTTCACCATTAAAACCCGGCTAATTAAACTCAGAGACCTCTCTCAATATAACACACCAGGCTAACGAGCCTCCGGGGAGGCATTTTGCAGCAACAGAGGAAAGAACATGAAGTGTCATATGCTTGCAAGGCTGCTGTAGCTATTCTTGAATTGTAAAACTAACACGAGTGGCCTTCCGTAATTAAATGTTGCGATTTTTTTTTCCGGTTGATGTTTCAACTTTGTAATAATAGTAACAGTGATTATTTTCAGCTGCTTGTCAAGTCATTGCTGGATTAAAACCTCCCCACACTGTATAAGTCGAAATAGGGGTTGTTTGACAATATTTCACCACGCTGGTCAGTGCGGGTTTGCAGGAGGGGGGGCAGAATCAGATCAGATATCACTTACCGCTTTTCTTAGTCATTGTCAAGATTTGAATTAAGGTCACCGGGTTCATTGCGCAGCGTGCGACCATCATCGCGCACTGTGCCACCGATGGCCCCATGTGATTATGTTACTATAATGAGCCAAGAATGTGTGTGTCCCGCGCGTGACGTCACTCCACATGACACCCACCCCCTCCATTAATATTCATGAGTGGGTGGATTTTTACGCTAACGCACAAAACTAACGCACAAGGCCGCGCACTCCACATGCCGCACCCCTCCCCTCATTAACAATCATGAGCGGGTGACGTCACTCCCAATCCCGCACCCCTCCCCAATAACTATTAACGGGTGACGTCACTCCAAATGGGGCAACCCCCCCCCCTCATTAATAATCATGAGCGGAATTTTTCAGACGGGCAAAAAGCTAGTTTTATATATAAAAAATAAAATTTAAGTGGAAAACGGCAGTTAAATGAAAAAAAGATTATACTGTACGTGTTTTTCTAAGTCTACTCATATTTTTGGTTCCCTTTTTATCGAAACTCACTTTTGTCAAATAAAAAAAGTGCATGACACACATTTCTTATTTAATTATTTTCATGTTGAAAGTGTAACACTTGCAGTAGAATCATGTATACGTTGTTTTTTTTCTTCTTCACCAGACTGAGTGAAGAAACAAATAAATGTTACACACACACAGCCGTGAATTGTTAAGGGCATGTCTGCAATGGTGCATTCCATTCATCTCGTAGCGCGAGTGGATCTTTGGGTGGCTAAATGTGGGCAGAAGAGTGACTAATTGGTTATTGCACCAAACAACATCTCAATGTTTCTCCTCATATGTGGTGGGCTGTCGACAAGTAACCCTGTTTCATTCAATATGAAATAAATAATGTTCATAATGATGCCCTACTGTGTTTATCCAGAAAGGCCTCAATTAGTCTGATTTCGTTTTCAGGAGGTTCTTTCATTGGAATGTTTTGCTTAATCCCATTAATAAGTGTTTGATTCATTAAAATGAAATTGGCAAAAACATCCTTAAGCAGGACTCTGCTAAAAGCAACATTGAGACTCGTGAGGCTGAGACCCAGTGAAGATTTTCATGATAAATTACAATTATTATCAATCCAGGTGAAGGTATTTACAGATAACAAAATAAATAAGCAGCTTTTTATATTCTGCAGAATAACGCGAATGAGTATGTTGCGTTACATTTAAGATGTAGAACACAAAGATCATAAATAACAATTGGAGATTTAGTTACAAGCCATACAATAATAGTATAAATTTCAACTGTTTAGCATCTAGTCACTAACATCCTAACTGCAGAACGAACTGATTCCTCTCAACAAAAAACAACTAAAATCATGAAAGACAGCATTTAGGATATTTGCAATTGACACTATGAATATACACACGATAACAATGTTGTGTTTAAGTTGGGTTAAACGTGGTAGCACTTGCTTGTACACTACTTCTCTGAGAATAAACACGGTGATGTTTTTTTTATTGCACCAACATTTTAAGCCACTTAATTTTTAAGGAGTCATTTCACTATTGCGTGGTCTCAAAACGTTGGCCACTCATTGCACACACATTGACTGTCACACAAGCATGGCAGGGGTACAGCGGTGGTGCAATGGTTCGCGCAAAGTTCTCTAAACCCACTCACCTAAGTTCAATTCCCAGCCAGAGATAATTAAAATTACAATTACAGCGGTGACTGACCCCAAGTTTGGTGGTTGAGTGATATCCGACCATGTACTGAGAGCCCCCTTGAACCCACACTGACCGGCACGGTGAGGTATGGTAAAGCAATCCACCATGACTGACACAGGGTGTGAGGATACTTCTTCCAGCCATAGATTGACAAAGAGCCTTAGATTAAAATGCAACTATTCTGCAAACAATGTGCGTATGTATGTATGTATGTTAAACTTCTTTCGCACCGTATGTAGGCAACTGTGCTAATCGGGAGGTACGGGGGAAGGACAACAGACTAAACACAAAAAGCAGCTCTAAAGAAAGGAATCTAAATTAAAAAGTGCATAGCTCCAGTAGCTTCCTAATATTGAAGCAATACGAATTACGATCATACATCCGTAAATATGGCCATACAGACTATTTCACGATATATAAATACAGATTTTGTGCGAATAAAAATACTGATGTTTTTAATGACCTCACAGTTGCACCATACGCAAGCATAGCAGCATGAGATTGCGTCGTAATTGCGTTTCATGGTTGCCCAATGGAAGGCAATCTCTGCCATCTGGGGGGTGTCTTCTTGACGCTCAGGGACAGCAAATGATTTATACGTCCCAAATGCGCCCCATGCACGAGGTTATTAGGGCAGCGCACGCCTTCTCCTCCTCCTCGGCTGCTGCTGCCGCTGCTGCGCTACGCACGGGAAGTGAGTCCCTTTGTTTCAATACTGCCCCAGTTAAAGCATTTCGAGTTCCAAGAATAATCATCCAGGTAACGGTGTCTTTTCCTCTTCTGTCACTCCAGCGCGTTCCCATGCACGCAGGCATGGCGGCTGCTATTTACGAACAGTTCTCTTTTGCACCAGTGGTATTGTTCATATCATTGTTTATATGGTTGCTTTAATGAGATGTTTTGGCCTCATTATTAGCAACAATGAAATAAGCTTTACTGATATATAATGAGATGCACATCTATATTATTCAACTGTCAGTTCATCCCAACAAAATAATACACACTGGGGTAAGAGCTAAAATTGTAAAAATAAAAACCCAACACGCAATGATTACTTCCATAGGCACAATGAAAAGCAAATGTGAATGCAAATAACGTAATGCATCAAATAATAGGGGTGGGCCGTGCAGTACAGTAGCACACTGTGCCCTGAACCCATTTTACCTGGGTTTGATTCCAATCGTGGCTAAGAGTGCTGGCGAGTGATATATAATTTGTGTGGCTAAGTATGGATAAATAGGCCACCACGACTGACACCTCATGGGAAGGCATTCTTCCAGCAATGGATTGACAAAGGCATAGCATTATGTATTATATAACGGCATGATGGGAGTGGTAGTGCGAGCGGTTAGCACAGTAAGCTATGACACTGACCTCAGTTTAATTTATCTTAACATTTTAACGTAACATTTCCTCCTATATTTACCTTCATTTAAACACAGGTGATGGGAACATGGTTTTTACTTCAGTCTAAAACTGCATTTAATAGAGACCAGCCAATTGACTGCTGATATCCGTATTTAGTCCCATCTTACAATTGACCTCGCTTTGGCGAGATCCAAAGCACCGTAGATCACACAGGGCAGGAATAAGTGACTGCAATATTTGTCATTAACTAAATGCCAGCGCACTGGAGGTGTTCGCCGTAGAGCTGGCAGGCTTATGCCTCTAAAGGAGTCGGAATGATTAAATGCTGTATAGCGGTGTCTGACTGCAAAGTAATTCAATTACTTTTCATGTCGCGTGAACACATTTACATTTTCCTGAGATAATTACAAAGTGTTTAGAGTATGTGAGTTAATTAGAAGTAGAATAGGTCAAAATAAAACAGTCTATAACCATTTACTCAGTAAAGTGTTTTTAATTGCAGCTTAATGCACACTTATGTTGGCGCTTACCCCCCATCCCACCCCCTCACAGGAATGATATGCAGAAGACATTCATTAGTCACTCGCCATTCAAATCATTACGATGCTCATAAACATCATTGACATGTAACTATGATTCCAAACTACCTAAAATTGACAATCAAGCTAAACTCCAAAAACTCCCTACAAAAAACATTCTGCTACATTTAATTACATTACCATGAACAAAGAATTGAGGTATTAAGAAATACTCTTTGGTTCTTTCGGTAAAGTCACGTAGGTATAAAATAAAATAAATCACGACGTTTCGGGCGCAACACAAGCGTCCGTCATCAGGTGGGACAATCGCAGCAGGGAAACTGCTGAAGCAGTTTCAGCAGGTTGCTGAAGCAGTTTCCCTGCTGAAGCAGTTTCCCAGGTGGGAACAACCTGCTGTGATTGTCTCACCTGATAACGGTCGCTTGTGTTGCGATCGAAACGTCGTGATTTTCTACCCACATGACTTTACCGAAAGAACCAAAGAGTATGCTACAGTTAGTCGTGTTGGGTGGGGTAAAGCGTGGGTAAGCCCACCTCTTCCAAGACATCAGGCCAGTGTGGCAGAGGAAGCCAAACACCCTCCAGCTCTCTAGAGCTGCCCTCTCGCGAAGGCCCTTTCCACCAGCAGCAGTGACGAGAGCTGGCAATCGCAGGGCTGCTGCTCACCTTTAC